CAAAGATAAACTATGGTATTTGCTGAGAGCCTCTATACAAATACCTCTGGAGATAATACTACGCGCATTGCAATATGACCGATTGCAAGTAAGAAATACATATCTGCAGCGATATCAGTCCGACTTTTGATAAACCATTATCAATCTACAATATTTTATAGAAGAATTCTATAGAAGAATATTCAAGAGATATTAATAAATTAAATATTTGTTTTTTAATATTATTGATCAATATTACATCAATATTATTGATAATGATTTTTTTATTGCTTCTGTTTATCCGGAGCAAAATTGCACGCACATCTTCACAAAAATTACATTATCTACTTTTAAAAACCATGAATGTAATTTTTTTAGTCATGGATTTTATTTAATTATAGCACAGGTATAAACTACATGCTATGCTAAAAAATCGAATTAAATTTTAGTACTTAATTTCGAAAATGGAGCGTAATTTCGAGTGAGCGGAATCGCGAAAGAGAAAAGTTTTACCAACATAGATGGACACGCGATGTTCTACGCAAACCCGCACAGCGGTAGTTTTTCTCGGTACATGTAAATCGGGACATGTAAATTTTTCTCGGTATATAGCAGTCTATCAGATCTTTTCGACAAATGTAAAATATTCTTTCGACGTGAAACAAGAAAAAAAAATCAGAAAAAAATGTAATCTTTTTGCATCATATCATCGTAGTGCTTTTTCATCATTAGCTTCTGCAACTTTCTTCTTCACATATATATATAATTTATCATGGCGCATTCCGAAATCCAATCATTTCATACGATCATCATCTACGGTATCATCATATGTACACAGTATATGAAATTATTGAAGTAATAGAAAAATGCATCTTATCATTTATTATTAAACATTTATTATTAAAATTAATAATTATCACTTTCTAATAAAGAAATAATTAGTTTTATTTGACGAATATTTTTTTGGAAGACATCTAACACTTTATGATAATATTTTCTGTAAAAGTTATCTCATACATAACATATCATTCCTTATTTTTCATATAAAATAAAATTATGTCGTGTTTTTCATTAAATTCCGTTAAAAATTTTTCTTAATTCTTATTAAAATTAATTTAACACAAAGTTAACTTAACTTTATCATGATACAAGCTGCGCCTTTTTCATTATATTCAATATCAACTAAACAAAGAATTATAAAGTTAATTTTTTACTAAGCACTATTTCAAGATTAAAAGAAAGTCTTTATTTAACATAGGTATATAATAAAGACCATCGTTTGTAATAAAAATAATTTTTGATATACAGAGATTCTTAAGATACAACACAACATAAAATATTTTAGGATTAATATAAGATTTACATTATTAACCTTAGACTCACTTGCTTCTAAATTTTCTATTTCACTTATCATATAACACGCATTATATATGATGTAATTAGTCAATACTTCAGAAAGCGCAAAAAATACTGACCTACGTTTAACAAAAAATCAATATATACATCCCTCCTGTATTTTATTATTTCCTTTCTTCTCTCATAATTTCTGCCACATTATATATTCTACCGCATCGCTCTGTCGGAGGAAAGTACATTTTGCTTTAAAATATAAATGAATGCAACGAAGTTGTAATTTAAGTGTTTAATATCGCTATTCTTCCTCGAATTCTTGAGGAATGTTATTTATAACACTTTAGTCGAATGAAAATCGTAATAAAGTGCGTTATTTTCTATCTCTAATACACCACGACATTATTATTATGAAAGAAACATTGACGCTAGAAAAGATTATTGCCTTCTTAAAAGTAGATCTAACGTTTGCATGTTGTTGGCCACTTCCGATGAAGGCTACAAAATTTCAAAAAATTCGTAACAAGATATTTCGGTTGTTATGTTGCTTAAATAGCATTATAATGGTAATATCGTTAATATATACATTAAACAGGAAGTATAATAATATGATTTTTGTGATGAAAGTGGGCTGTGAGCTGACTGCCTTCGTACAAATTCCAATACAAATTACATTGTTCACACTTCAAAGTGACCGTTTACAAGTAAGAAATGCAATGTACTTTTGAATTTATTGTAATTTCAATTTATTTGTATCATAGATATTAACAAGATATAATATATAAATATAAAATATAAATTCATAAAAATTTAAATATATAATATAGAGGATTATAAATTTGTGCAATATAGCTTACACACATAAACAAATTTTTAAATTATTGTTGTGACA